CCCCTCCCCCACCCCACCTGAAGGGAAGGGAGGCGTGGGGGGCTCCCCCGCCCGGTCCTGGAGGACCGGGTCAGGCATTGTTTTCTTGCCTATTGTTCCAGTACCGCGCCCCCCACCCCAAGTTGAGGGAGTTTGGGGAGAGTCTAGGGAGCAATAGTGAACTCCCCGCGCCCCACACCGCCACTGTTGGGGCTGCTGGGGGAATGTTTACCTGCGAGGTGTCCCCTCCCGCCCGGTTATTTTGGTCCCGGCTCTGGGAGGAAGAGGTCAGGAGGGGGGTCATCCCCCCTCGCTTCCGGGTACTGGGAGGAGCGGAGTTGGGAAGGGAGGAGAATGGTCCCTGGGGAGAAGGGAGTCCTAAAATCTTCCGGGAAAGAGCTGAAGATAGGAGAGAGGTTGTGCAAGGGGCCGGAATCGAGAAGAGGGAGGTTTGGAGTTTCCCCCAGCAGCACATGGTTCCGGAGTTAACTCCTTGAGGAATCTTGCCGAGGGCACAGGCTGGCATCTCCCGCCTGTCTGGCACAGCCAGCTGGATCCCTTCTTCCTGGGACAACCCTTAATGCTGTGGTGTGGGCTCTTCCGGCCACTCTCCTCTCCTCACCTGCTCCACACCTGCCCTCGGCCTTGACTTTTGACCTGTGCTTGTGATAGTCAGAGGCAAAGAAGAGGTCCCTGGACCCCCGACTTCCCCGCCTTGTCCCTTACTGGCCCTTTAAGAAATCCTCCCCCTCCCCCAAGTAATAACAAAACGTGTTTGACTATCATGACTGTTGTCCTCTCTGGTTTTCTCTGTTCCTAATGCTGAGGATTGGTCCTGGGCAGGAGCTGGGAAACAGGTCCAGAAAGGGTGTGGGGGGGAGGATCTTCTAGAAGTTTAAGGTCAAGGACTCAGAATTTCCACTCCTTTGCAGTGCCCGTGTTTGGTTGTGTGGTTGAAGGCTTTCGTTGTTTTGGGCATTCCTTGTCCTGCTGTTTAGTGAGTGACCCCCAGACAAGGAAGCAGCCCCCCCTGCTGGAACTGGCTCTAGTCCTTTAGAGTCACTCCCTATCCCCGGTTACTCTGGGAAAACGCCACTGGCTGACAGCTTTGCGCGATGACTCTTCTCCCCCACCCCCAGCTTGCTATGGCATCGTTCAGGTGCCCACGGGACCCTGGTTCTGCCGGAAATGTGAATCTCAGGAGCGAGCAGCCAGGGTGGTGAGTTGGAGACTCCCCCCCACGGCCCCCCCCCACATACCTGAGCATCTTCTCCTGGTTGAGCTAGGGGACTCTGAGGCTAGGGTGGGACTCAGCTCTGTCACACAGGACTTCCTGTTGTTTCCTGCACACCTATGGCCAACCCCATCTCTTCTTCAGCTCATCCCTCACTCTGCCCCACGTCAGGCTTGGGGACTTTGGTTTTTGTTTGTTTGAACTTTTTGTTACAGAAAGTTTCTAATGCATACAAAAGTGGAAGGAATACTATAATGAACTGTTTCTCCATCACTCACTTCAACCATGATCAACTCTTGGCCAGTCCTGTTTCCTCTAGGCCTTCTTCTCCCCAGATATCATTATTTCATTCTGGGGCCCTTTGACTGTGTTCAGGGAGGGCACAGCTTGGCAGATCCTCCAGCCCCTGTGCCCCCTTGCTTTGGCAGAGGTGTGAGCTGTGCCCACACAAAGACGGGGCATTGAAGAGGACTGACAATGGAGGTGAGGGGCTCGTCTGTTGAGGTCAGCAAGGCCCCCTGAGCAGGGTGTGGGAAGGCAGAGTGGAAGGAGTGGGGTGGAGGCTGGGTTGATGGGAAGGCTGTGGAGGAGGGGACAGTCCGCAGTGTGGGGTCATGAGGGGTGGGGTCTTGGGCTCGACACCACAGCTCAGGCCACACTGCATTGCCCCAGGCTGGGCCCATGTGGTGTGTGCCCTCTACATCCCTGAAGTGCAGTTTGCCAATGTGCTCACCATGGAGCCCATCGTGCTGCAGTATGTGCCTCATGATCGCTTCAACAAGGTCAGCAGCCCTGCTAAGCCCCATACCAGTCCCCTCCCTGGCCAACCGTCTTTGGGTCCCTCCAGTGCTTTCTTCATACAGTGTAATCTGATTCTGTCCAACCAACACTTTCAGGGAACTGACGAGGTGGGTAGGTACCTACCACTGACCCACCCTTTCATTGACAGACACACACTCATGCTCTGGAACTCAGGCGAAATAATAGGTTCCCTTGCAGTAGTACTGCCAGGGGGTGGACTTCTTTAGCAAGTAGTTCATTCATTCATTCCCTGGTCTCATTTTATTGAGTGTCTACTGTGTGCCAGAGCTGGCACAAGATACCAGGCGCACAGTATTCTGTATTGATCAAGACAGATGTGCTGCCTGCCCAGTGGAACCACGTTATTGTGTGGGAAGACTGTAAATATCAGTAAATAAAGTAAGTGCAATTTGTGATAAGTGCTGTGAAGAAAATAAACAAGGCACTGAAATAAAGAGTACTTGGTGGGGGGCTTACTTTAGATAAAGTGGTCAAGGAACACATTTAGGCTGAGAGCTGGGGTATGAGAAGCAGCCAGCCTTGAGAAGGGCGGGATCCTGGGTTCCAGGCAGAAGAAACAGTATACAGTGGCCCAGAGCGGGAATAAGCTCACCAGTGAGCAAAACAGACTCAGTCCCTGGCCTTTCAGAGCTCACTATCCAAGGACTGTGCTATCCAGTATAGCAGCCACCAGCCTCACATGGCTGTGTAAATTGATTAAAATTAAATACAATTTAGAGTTCAGTTTCTCAGTCACACTAACCACATTTCAAGTGCTTAGTAGCCCATGTGACTAGTGACTACTATATTAGACAGTACAGATTCCATCATTGCAGAAAGTTCTGTTGCATAGCACTGATCTAGGATCATGGGGAGAGGACAGAATTGAGGGGGAGGCTGAAGGATCCCTCAGGAAGAAGGACAGGGGCTCCCTGGAGATGGGATGATTGCACTGTATCCTGCAGACCTGTTACATCTGCGAGGAGCAGGGCCGGGAAAGCAAGGCGGCCTCAGGAGCCTGCATGACCTGTAACCGCCACGGATGTCGACAAGCTTTCCACGTCACCTGGTGAGACCCCTGCCCCCAACCCTCCCCCCAGCTTTGCCATGGATGGCTACGGAGTGGGCTCATCCTAGCTGCTGTCTCTTTGGTGATGATGGTGGCAGCACCTTCGTTGCTTGGATGGTCTTGGCTTCCCCTCAGCAGGGGTCCAGGGGGGTAGGAGGAAGGAGGCTGGTCTGGTCTGTGGCCACTCCCTTCTCAGTCTGACCTCTCTTGGATAGTGCCCAAATGGCAGGCCTGCTGTGTGAAGAAGAAGTGCTGGAGGTGGACAACGTCAAGTACTGCGGCTACTGCAAATACCACTTCAGCAAGATGGTGAGTCCCATCTGCCAGTGCACGAGTGGGTCAGTTTACAGGGCTTGGGCTCTGGGCCAGGCTGCTGTCTGGGGCTGGAAGGACAGAGCTGGAAAGATCCCAGTCCCTGCCCTCGAGGAGCTCGGCATTCGATGGGGAATACATTAAAATACAGCTTGAGGGGTATGAATCAGAGCTGAACCAAGCAGGCCATCCCAGAAGACAGAGCTCAGAGCCCACCTCTGAGAGTCTGGGAGGCTTCAAGGAAGAGACGGCATTTAAGCTGAGTGGAGGTGGAAGTATTTGCATGGGAGTCAACATTCACTACGCCCTAGCCTTTTACTAAGTTCTTTTTGTGTGTTACTTTGTGTGATCCTTTCAACAACCCTAAGAAGTAGGTGTGCTATATTTTCCCCATATTACAGATGGGTAAACTAAGGCTCACCGAGGTTCTATAACTTATCTCACCGTTGGTGGATGGGATTCAGAACAGGCAGCCTGATTTGAAAGCTCCTCAGGAGCCTGCCAAGCAAACAGTCCCAGACAGAGGGACTGGCGTGGACAAAGTCCTGAGATGAGAAAGAGTATGTGTGAGTGGAGGAGAATAGGGTGTTTGGTGAGGATGAGGCAGGAGATGAGCCAAGAAAACTTAGGCAGGGCTAGATCTGGGCTTACTTCTGCCCCAGGCTTCAGGGGCCCAAGGAGAGGCTGGACAGGGTGCTATCCTGTGTTTGTAGAGAGACCTGTGTGTTCCAGAAGCTGGGAGGTGTCCTGGAGAGGTAGGTTGCAGCGTGGACCTCACCCCCAGGCCACTGACTTGTTGGGCTTGTAAGCGGGATAGTAACATGACCAGATTTGTTTTTAGGAAGATTACCCTGGCAGCCGCTGTGAAGCTGGCCGAGGCTGGCGGCGGAGAGACAGCTGCAAGAAGGGGGGTGGTGGGATGAGGCTGGATGCTAGAACCATTTCTAGGTAGACTTGCATAGATGTGGGGGTGGCTGCGAAGCAGGAGCTGAAGTGACACATAAGATCCAGGCTCCAGTACTGGGGGGATGGTGCTTGAACACCTGGGGGTGTCAGGAACAGGGGTGCAGCTGGCTTCTGTAGAGCGAGCATATATCCTGGTTTGTCCTGACAGCCCGGGTTTATGCCTGCTGCCCTGGTGTAATTACTGATAGCTCCCCGCTTTCATTTTCAAAAGTGTTCTGGTTTGGATCATAAATTATATGGTCACTTTGGATTCAGGGTTTGGTGACAATTTAGGGAACAAGATAGAGAGCTTAGTTTGATTTGCAGGAGGTGCCAAGTAGAGATGTTTAGATTTGGTGGATGTCATACCCCTGGGCAAAGTTGTGGTAGCCCAGGCTCATAGGGATTGGGCTGGAATCCCAAGGGTGTTCAGGATAGGGTGGGATGGGGTGGGAAGGGGACCACGAAAGAGAGAGCTCAGCAGGGTAGGAGTGGTGCGCAGTGCTGGGGAGCAGTAGGGTCAGACAGGGCCTGAAATTAGCCCTTGGATTTGGCAGTTGAGAGGTAGTTGGTGACATTACAGGGAGCAGCTGCAAGCCTGGGATGGGTGAAACCATCAGACCAGGTGGAGGGAAGCACATTTGTAGTGAGGGGAAGGGGGAGGCGGCCCTGGCTGATAGGAGAGGCAGTGTGGGGGCTGTTTGGGTTTTGCTGTCCAGGTTTACTTCCCTTCTTCAGGTTAAGGGCAGCATATCCTTTGGGACAGGAGCAACCACTCACTGTGTTTGGTGGAGGGGAAGGGCTGAGAACAAGGGAGAAGGGGGTGATGGCTGGATTGAAGTGTCTGGAGGGAAGGGTGGGATGTGCACTGCACAAGGGTCTCCTGCATATCCTCTGCCCCAGAGAAGGAGGTGGAGGTGGGCCATGGCTCAGTCTGCCCAAGATAGGTGAAGAGGGCATTGTGCAGAGTTGGGGGTGGAGAGTGGGAGGCCTGGGCCCCAGTCCTCCTTCCACCTGTGCCCTTGCTGGGGGGCCCAGACACGTTTTTGCCTCTTCTGGCCTCCATTGTTGAATCTGCTCATTGGATGGGCCAGCCGGGGAAGCTCTAGGGTTTTCAGGCTGGAGGATGCCCTTCTGCTGAGCAGAGCTTCACAGAGGACATGAGATCCCCTTAGTGATGAGCAGGACAGATGGAACTGGTCCCCAGGGTCATTAGGCCTTCAGGAACCTTTCCCTAAACTAGTGAGGGGGGGAAGTTGGCAATTCCTCTCACTTCGCTCCCCCAGAAGACATCCCGGCACAGCAGTGGTGGGGGAGGAGGTGGAGGCGGTGGCGGCAGCAGCGGGGGCGGTGGCAGCGGCGGCTCAGGAGGAGGCGGCAGTGGCTTCATCGCTGGCAGGAGGAGCCGGTCAGCCTCGCCTTCCACCCAGCAGGAGAAGCACACCACCCACCACGAGAGGGGCCAGAAGAAGGTAGAAGTCTTTCCTCCACTCTCCTGCCCACAATCACACACATACTCCCAAACACACATCTTCCAAGAAGCCACCACCAGGTGCCCTGAGGTATTGGAGCCTGCCTCCTTCCTTCATCTGAGGCACTGAAGGGCAGGAAGGGCTGAGGCAGTGAATGTGAGGGTCACGGAGGGTGAGGTGAGGGCCTGGCTTTCCTGGGGCTCTCTGTGTCTGTGGTTCCTACATATCCTCCCCATGACATGACAGAATCCCCAGAGCTCCAGACACATGGCTCTGCATGTTTGCACACATCTCCACAGTCTAGCTATGTGCCGGCCCAGTTTGTAAGAGCACATGCCTGTGTCCCCTCATGTCACATATCAGAGTGTGCCTGGCTCCCGTTCCTCTGAACAGTTCCGTGTCCCGGGTGGACACCCTTGTAGGTGCATGCTCATGTGTGTGGTGTCCTATGTCACTGGCGTGATAATGGGACAGGCTATTTTTAGCCAGCAGTGAGGATTGGGGGAGGGGCTGTTGGCACTCAGAAGAACTTGCCTGAGCCACTCCTGTCCAGCCCCAGCTCCTCCATAGAAAGAGATGACTCCCACAAAGCCCCACCCCCAAGAGAGGTCAGCTCCCCACATCCACATGTCATGCGTGTCCTCACCCAAACAGCCCCCCGCACCAACATCTGGTCACCTCTCCCTCCCCAGAGTCGAAAGGACAAGGAACGCCTTAAACAGAAGCACAAGAAGCGGCCTGAGTCACCCCCCAGCATCCTCACCCCACCTGTGGTCCCCACTGCTGACAAGGTACCACTGCCCACATTCAAGAGGGATGGTATGCTGGTCTGGGGATGGCAGCAGGAGAGAGGCGAGGTGTAATGGGTCAGGGTGAGCCAGGGACCTAGGCACCCTCCCCACAACTTCAGCTTAATGTTACTCCCCTCCCCACCATGTCCATCTTCTTCCTCTTCTAGTCTGGAAGGGGCCTGTGCTCCCCAGCCCCACCAATCACTGACCAAACATGAGGGTGGGGAGGGGTGCGGGTCCCGCCTTGACTGCTGGCTCCCAGAGGTTCACATCTACCTCTGTCCAGACAGAGGGCTCAGCAGTGGGTTCTTGTCTGCAGAGTGGGGGTACAGCACTCAAGGCTCATTCTCCAAGTTCTTGGGACCCCTCCCCCCATCAGGATGATGCCCAAGACCTGTCACCTAACCAGAATTCCAGTGCAGGTTGGAGGGGCTGAAGGTGCTGGCCAAGGTGGTGGGAGGTGGGGTGCAGTGGGCAGGCTCTTGGACAATACCCTGAAACCCCACTCATCCTAACCTTTCCAGCAGGGGCATGGTATAGCAGGCCTGTCTCCAGAAATGGGCAGCATCTGGATGAGCAACAAGCAGGCCCTGCCCTAGGCCAGGGAGTCACTAATTCAAGCCAGAACAGTCCTCCCTGCTCCTCCCTCCAACCTGCCCTCCCCATGGAAAGAGAGCCCGGGGGGCCTAGAGAAACAGCTTCCTCCTGTCGCCATTATTGCCCATTCACCTCCACCCCTGTTCAGATGGTTGGCAGAGCCCTGGGCATCTTAGCAGGAGGCTCAGGTATCAGGTTTCCAGGCCGATGTTGCTGTGGCAACTGTCCCAGTAACCCTCTCCCCTCCTGGCTCGCCAGGGCTCACCTGGAAAAGCTTGTCACTGTGCCCTCTGACATTTCCCAGGGGCCTGCAGGCAGGTAGAAAGAAAGGGACAGAGATCTGGGAGTTCCCAGTAATTGGGTGTCCCTCGGACGTGGGAGAATTCTGCCCATCCCCCCCCCGCCTGCCCCAGTATTCAGCTACCCTTCCCCCCAATCCCTCTTCCCTTGCTCTCAGAACCACATCTGGCTCCCTTCAGAACTCCAGCTGTTGAAAAGAACAAAGAGGAAGACAGAGACCAGAGCTCCACCCGGAGAGGGGCAGCTCAGGGTGGCTGTCATTTCCCGGTCCATCCTCCCTCTAGTGTTTGTTTGTTCAGCACAATGTACTGAATACCTGGTCTCCACCAGGAGGAAAAGTGCCATCCCTGGCAGTAATATGAAGCACCAACTCGCTCCCACGGGCCAGGCTCTCTTCTAGAACCAGGGGATGGAAGGAGTACATGGCAATTAGTTCACTTATTCCTCAAAATAATACAATGAAGGAGGTATTTTATTAACCCCATTTAAGAAGTGAAGAAGCTGGGCCGGCCCTGTGGCTCACTGGGGAGAGTGCGGCGCTGGTAGCACGGAGGCGTGGGTTCGAATCCTATATAGGGATGGCTGGTGCGCTCACTGGCTGAGCGTGGTGCGGACCACAATGTGTGAAGGGTTGCGATCCCCTTACCAGTCAAAAAAGGAAGAAAAAAAAAAGTGAAGAAGCTGAGACAGAGAGGTTAAGTAATTTGCTTAAAAGCACACAGCTAGTGAGTAGCAGAGTTGAGATTTGAATGCAGGCAGTCTGGCTGGAAGGCCATGCTCTTAGCCACACCGCACAGCATTGTCTCTGCAGTATATTAACAGCAGCTGTCGCCGTCACACTCATCAGCATTTACTGACCCCATACCATGTATCTGGCGTATGCTGCTTATAGCTCTCCAAATATGCATCACATGCCCCATGAGGACACGAAGCTCAGGTTGAGACACTGCACCACATAACGTGGTAAAGGGCAGAACCCACCAGCCCCACACCTGCTCTGCCCGACTCCAGAGCCCATGCTCCTCCGAACACCGCCCTGCCACCCTCAGAGGGTACTAGGGCCTCAGACGTGGCAACGGCGCGTTTAAATGCAGTGTGGCAACTGTTGATGTGGGGACACAGAGTCTTAGAAATAAGAGGACAGATGATATGTTCCACCATAAGCATGTAGGGAGGCTTCATGGAAGAGAGGACTTCCGAGCTGGGCTTTAAATGATAAGTTTCCCAGGAAGAGTAAGGATGGGCTGTCCTGGGAGGGGTCAGTGCAGGCCGGCGCAGCTCGTCTCGGAAGAGCTCAGAGTGGGCAGAGCATGGGGTGAAGGCCGGGCAGCTGCAGCTCGGGGTGAGCAGCAAGGGAGAGCTGGCAACTGGAGGGCCCACAGGTGGAGCCAGGGAAGCCCCTTCTCCCGTGGCTCCTCTTCCTTGCCCACACCACTTCCAGCCAGGTCCAGCCTTCTTAGGCCCCCTGAGGTGTTTCAATGAGTGAACAAACAGATGGGTGAATCGGTGCAGATGCTTCTTCTCTCTCCCTGCCTGAGCTGAAGGACAGACACTCCTTGGGTTCACAGCACTCCTCTCTGCCTCACACCCAGAAGTCCCACTGCTGCCTCCCCATCTCCCCGGTCTAGGGGCTCCCACCTTTGCAGAAGTCTCCCTGCCTGAGTCCTTCACGAGGCCGACTCTGGGCTCTCCTGTCGAGCCCAGGTGCCGCGCCCTGCTGCTTCACTCCCGAGGGGAACAGGCTGCGCCCAGGCGCCCGGCAGCAGTGGTGCTGAGCCTCCCTCCGTCCTCCCTTCCCTCAGGCCTCCTCGGCTTCCTCCTCCTCCCACCACGAGGCCAGCACTCAGGAGACCTCTGAGAGCAGCAGGGATTCAAAGGGGAAAAAGTCTTCCAGCCATAGCCTGAGTCATAAGGGGAAGAAGCTGAGCAGTGGGAAAGGTGTGAGCAGTCTTACCTCTGCCTCCTCCTCCTCCTCCTCCTCTTCCTCCTCCTCTGGGGGGCCCTTCCAGCCTGCAGGTGAGTGTGGGCCTCCCAGAGGAGGCTGGGAGCTTCTCTAGCAAGGGCCTTTGCATATTGGTTTGCATCTCATTTACTCCTACATTGGTTCAGGATAAAGATGTGGGATCCCCACCAAGTGACTCGTCTCTAAACCCTCTCCTCACCCGTTCTTTTTGGAGCTGGAGCGCTCCTCCCCTCCCTCTCAGGGCCCACTGCTCCAACCCTGTAACAGTATTCCCTGTCGCCTCTGCTTGCACTGCAAGGTGCCATTTTTAAAGCACCAACATTAATGTTACCTCCTGTAATCTCTGCAGTCATCTAGTGAGGTCAGTAAGGTGGGAGCTACTCTTCTCCCATTTATGACAGGTGGGAAAGCTGGAGGGGTGGGAGACACTCATCCCGGGACACGGAGACAGTAGCAGAGCTGGTCGGGAAGCCAGGCTTCCTTTTTCATGGACTAGAGCTCGCTCTCCCCTAGTGCATGTGGGAGTGGGAGGGAGTGAGGGTTTCTGGGGTCCGGCTATAATTCCGTTTTCTGTCTGTGCACAGTCTCGTCCCTGCAGAGCTCCCCTGACTTCTCTGCATTCCCCAAACTGGAGCAGCCAGAGGAGGACAAATACTCCAAGCCCACAGCCCCAACCCCTTCAGCCCCTCCCTCTCCCTCGGCCCCCGAGCCCCCCAAGGCTGACCTCTTTGAGCAGAAGGTGGTCTTCTCTGGCTTTGGGCCCATCATGCGCTTCTCTACTACCACCTCCAGCTCGGGCCGGGCCCGGGCCCCCTCCCCTGGGGACTATAAGTCTCCCCATGTCTCGGGGTCCGGGACCTCAGCAGGCACCCACAAGCGGATGCCCTCATTAAGCGCCACCCCTGCATCTGCTGAGGAAACCCCTGAAACAGGCCTGAAGGAGAAGAAGCACAAAGCCAGCAAGCGGAGCCGCCATGGGCCAGGCCGTCCCAAGGGCAGCCGGAACAAGGAGGGCACTGGGGGCCCCACTGTTCCCCCCCTGCCCAGCGCCCAGCTGGCGGGCTTCACTGCCACTGCTGCCTCACCCTTCTCCGGAGGTTCCCTGGTCAGCTCTGGCCTGGGTGGCCTGGCTTCCCGCACCTTTGGGCCTTCTGGGAGCTTGCCCAGCCTGAGCCTGGAGTCTCCCCTGCTGGGGGCAGGTTAGTGACCCCTGCGGACAAGGGCATCTTGGGGCCCAGCCAGTATAGTGAGAGGGCAGAGGCATAAACATGTAGTTAGAAGGAAATGTGATGGAAACTGCTCGAAAGGACAGACATATAGAATGGAGGTGACGGTCACCTGCAAGACACTCCCTTATACCAGTTTTCTGCATGGTTGTAGTGGGGGAGATTGGGGTAGATTGACAGCAGGCCCTACCAAGTTTTAGGAGGTGAATTTAAAAAGCTAGGAACTCCACAGGCCTGGGCAGAGCAATCTGTTAAGCAGGCACATCAAGCAGATGTCATCCAGGCAAGAAGTGACGTCTTTGCAGCAAGAGGGTTAGACTGGTGTGTGTAGCCTGATGGGGGTCCAGGGGGACTGTGGAGGGGCTGTCCCAGCCACCTGACCAGGAGGAGTCTGGGGTGGAGGATGACTTACGCTTCTCTCTGTCTCCTTCTTGTGCCTGTAGGCATCTACACCAGTAATAAGGACCCCATCTCCCACAGTGGCGGGATGCTGCGAGCTGTCTGCAGCACCCCCCTATCCTCCAGCCTGCTGGGGCCCCCAGGGACCTCAGCCCTGCCCCGCCTCAGCCGCTCCCCATTCACCAGCACCCTCCCCTCCTCCTCTGCTTCTATCTCCACCACTCAGGTGAGGCCTTACTACTGGGCTGCCCCTTCCCTGGGCAGGTGGGGGACAGACTGCAGCGGAACCTCCTCCTCCCTCTGGTCTTCCTCCTCCCCATCTCACCTCTCCCCCACACCCCAGTACACACAGTTGTGCCCTAGATCCAAGAATAACCACCAGGCTGGATTTTACCTCTTTCCCTCAGGTGTTTTCTCTGGCTGGCTCTACCTTTAGCCTCCCTTCTACCCACATCTTTGGAACCCCCATGGGCGCCGTTAACCCCCTCCTCACCCAAGCCGAGAGCAGCCACACAGGTATGTGAGTCTCTGACCTCGTTCCCTTTTCTTCCCAAAGGCCTGAGGGACATCCAGCACCTGCATGTGACCCCAGAAAGGATGGGAGGGCTTTGGGGCTGCCCCTCCCCCTGGCCATTGCCCACACTGCAAAAAGAAATTCACACGTAACAAACCAGGGCATACATTAGTGGTAAAATTCAGTGAGGGCCAGGGCAGGGCAGAATTACTGCTCCATCTCACAGAAGGAAAAGGCAGAGAGAAATGACTTGCTCAAGGCAGTTGAGAGGGAGAATGGCAGAACCAGAGCCCAGATTCTTGCCTCCAGACTCCAAGCCCAGTGCTCTTACTGCTACTGTGCAGCTCCCTGCTGGCCTGTTAGTGTGTCCTTGGGATCAGCATTTACTAAGGTCCCACCAGCTGGGCAACAAACTCTCTGGGTATTTAGGGGTTAAGGAGGCAGGCCATAGGCTCCCCGCCCTCTCCCGGAGAATCCACCCAGCTCCGAAGAGTTGGTCTTGCAGAGGCACCACCTGTCAGGCTAGGGGGTGGGGCTTGCTGCCAGGCCCCAAATTCAGGTAAGCCTTCTTAAAGAGGCCAAATCCGATTCCAGGTTTAAGACCCCACGGAGTAGGGTGACTATATTTTCCTAAACCCAAATAGGGATTCTGTGGCCCAACAGAGTTTTGCCTTCTGACTTGAGAGTTTATTCAAAAGTCATACAAAGCTAATTATGATAATAGCTACAATTATTGAGGTCTTGCTGCATGCCAGCTAAACCCTTCACATTTATTACCTTATTTTTAATCCTAGTAACAGTCACTTCAGAGAGGTTAGTTAGGAGCCCAGGTCACAAACAGCAAGTTAGTGTCAGGTTCAAGTTCAATTCAGGTCTGTCTTGACTTCAGATTTCTATAACTCTGAAGCTTCCAGGAAAGAAATTAGGAGGCAGGTCTGAAAGTAGTCAGACATCGGGAGCCTTTCTGCCTAGAGAAAGGGGAAGAGAGCAGATAGATGCCCAGGCTTTGTTTCCAAAGGGGCAGGGTTTCTGAGCTAGGGCCATTAGTGCCTTACCAGCTTTGAACTGCTAGGGTGGGGTTGGGGGATGCTGGAGAAGGGGGTCCGTGGTGAGGTCCCATATCCTGCACCCACCTCCCGGGCCGGGACCCTAAGGCAGCCAGCAGCCCTTCCCCACTGATCCCTGCCCTCCCTTCTTCTTCCAAGAGCCAGACCTCGAGGACTGCAGCTTCCGGTGTCGGGGGACCTCCCCCCAGGAGAGTCTGTCTTCCATGTGAGGGAGGGGGCGGCTGGGGGGAGGGCCTGGGAGCCGGGCAGGAGGGACACTCAAGGGAGGAGGAGGTGGAGAGATGGGCACCAGAGAGGGTGGGAACTGAAGGGGATAGATTGGAACCCCTGAGGGGAGAGGAGGGAGAAAGCCTGGAGACGGAGCGCGAGGTCAGCCTGAGCCCGGTTTTCCCTCTGACCCCAGGTCCCCCATCAGCAGCCTTCCTGCACTGTTCGACCAGACAGTGTCTGCGCCCTGCGGGGGCGTGCAATTAGACCCGGCAGCCCCAGGGACGACTAACATGGAGCAGCTGCTGGAAAAGCAGGGCGACGGAGAAGCCGGTGTCAACAGTGAGGAGGGGTGGCTGTGGATCGGGAAACCTGCCCTAGGGTCCCCGACTCTGTCACCTTTCTCCCCGAGATAGCCAAACCTCTTTATGGTTCCGCCGCTAGGCCCTGCCCCAGCTTTGACTCTTGCCATTTGCTGGCATCTGCTTTGATCCTTGCTAGGTCATATCCTGGCCCCGTACCCCTGCACCCGTGTTCCCTGCTTTTGGCCCTCACAGCCCTCTGATCCAGATCTTACTAACCCCCAAACTCCAGTTTCCACCGGCCCCATCTCTCTCAATCCCGTGGCCTCCACACCAAGCCTCAGGCTCTGCCCCTGGCCCTCACACCTCTGGCCCCCAGGTCCCACCTCTCCGAACTCACCTACGTCTCTTTCCCTCGCTCGCTCGAGGCCAGGCCGGGCTTTCTTTTTGAGGCCAGTCCTCTTCCCCCGCCGGGCCCCGCCCCCAGCCCCGCCTCAGGCTCCCTCGCCCTCTCCCCGCAGTCGTGGAGATGCTGAAGGCGCTGCACGCGCTGCAGAAGGAAAACCAGCGGCTGCAGGAGCAGATCCTGAGCCTGACGGCCAAGAAAGAACGGCTGCAGATTCTCAACGTGCAGCTCTCCGTGCCCTTCCCCGCCCTGCCTGCCGCGCTGCCTGCCGCCAACGGCCCTGTCCCTGGGTCCTATGGCCTGCCTCCCCAAGGTGAGGGGGTCCCGCCCCGCCCGGCAGTGGGGGCCCCTGCTTGGTGTTGCGGACTGGCCCCGACTCCATCCCTGACCTCTCTCCCTCAGCCGGCAGCAGCGACTCCTTGAGCACCAGCAAGAGCCCTCCAGGGAAGAACAGTCTCGGCCTGGACAACTCGCTGTCCACGTCTTCCGAGGTGGGCGCCGCGAGGAGGGGGACAGGGAGGATGGGGGAGACTTGAGGTCCTCCTGGTCCCATCTCTACCCTGCAGCTACTGGAGGCTGGGCAGTGAAGTGATTGGCTGAGCAGTTGGTTGACCCATTCATTCATTTCTTAAACAAGTAATAGTTATGAGGTGCCTACTTAGTGCCAGGCACTGGCTATGCAATCAATGAGCAAAACGTGCACAATCCTCCTGAAGATAGGCTGAGTCCAAAAAAACGATAAGTAATCGCAAACTGGGAGACGTACTAAGATGGAAATAAATTGAGAGCTGTGAGAGAGAGTGGGAGGGGTTCTGCCGTGGATGTAAAGAGGTTAGGGAAGGCCTCTGAGAGGTAGTTGTGAAGGATTTATTACAGCGCTCACACAGATAATCCCTATGTAATTGGTAGTGGTTGGGACAGCAGTTGCTATTGTTACGTTGAGGTTATTATTGGAACCAAACAAGCTGGATTCTTGTTCTCTCTCTGCCACTTATTAACTGTGTGACTTGGGCAGTAATAATCCTAATAATAACTAACATTAATTGCACACTTGTCCGTTGTCATGCCCTGTGCTGAAGCACTCGTTTATTTAGTCTTCACAGTAACCTAGTGAAACAGGTGCTACTATTACCCCCAGGTTATGAGTGAGTAAGTTAAGGCAGAGCGGTTGAACTGTGGACATAGGACTTGAACCTGAGCCTTTCACCCCCACTCTAGTGCTCTTGCCTGCAGTTACTTAACCTGTCTAAGAATCGATGGAAATAACTAGATAACCATGTCAAGCCTAAACCCTGCATCTGGTTCAGTAGATGGTCACTTCCATCATCATTGTTCATTATTAAACAAGCATGACAAGGGGTGCCTGTCCCCAGGAAGTGGTCAGGAAACCTGATTCATGAAGACTGTTTGGATTCTTAGCCTTCATCCCTGGCCCATGCTTCTCCCTCCAGGGGGCCTGAGGGTGAGGCGGGGGTGGCTGTGCTCTGTGAGAATGCTGGTGGGTGCTGGGCCGGGGGCCAGAAAGATGGTGCTGGCCCTCTGCCCCTCTGACCCGCCTTCCCCCTCCCTCCCCAGGACCCACACTCAGGCTGCCCAAGCCGCAGCAGCTCGTCGCTGTCCTTCCACAGCACGCCCCCACCGCTGCCCCTGCTCCAGCAGAGCCCTGCCACTATGCCCCTGGCCCTGCCTGGGGCCCCTGCCCCGCTTCCGCCCCAGCCACAGAATGGGTTGGGCCGGGCACCTGGGGCAGCGGGACTGGGGGCCATGCCCATGGCTGAGGGACTGTTGGGGGGGCTGGCAGGCAGCGGGGGCCTGCCCCTCAATGGGCTCCTGGGAGGGTTGAATGGGGCTGCCGCCCCCAACCCTGCGGGCTTGAGCCAAGCTGGCGGGGCCCCCACGTTGCAGCTGCCGGGTTGTCTCAACAGGTGAGGGAGAGCTCAGCCCTGGGACGGGAATGGGAGGCTGGCTCTGGGAGGGATCCCTCCAAAGTGCTCATAATCCCCCCAAAGGAAAAATTTCCTCTGGTTTTACAGGGCATATAATCCTCCTCATCTGTTGGCCTGTAGGGACTCCCTACACTGTTAGCTGTGTCTGCCCTCTGGATGGTAGCTCTCCAGGGAAAAAAGAGTCTATTTCCTGTCCCCTGTTCTAGGTTTTCCCTCCTGGACACTTCTTTCATCTAACTTGTATCCCTCCCACTGCACCCTCTGAGCTCAGTCCTCTAGAATCGCACGTCCCTGCCTCTCACCTGGGTCTGAGGGAGTTCTGGAGCTTGTGCGGGGTGGGGGCAGTGTGTTTCCCTGTTCCTTCCCCATGGTCTGTGTGTTGTCCCCTGCCTCAGCCTAACAGAGCAGCAGAGACACCTCCTTCAGCAGCAAGAGCAGCAGCTCCAGCAACTCCAGCAGCTCCTTGCCTCCCCACAGCTGACCCCGGTAATGTCCCTTGCTCCCCCTTCCCCCAGCTCTGCCTGGAAGGGTCCATCTCAGGATCTGGGCCAGCCTGCAGAGGCAGGAGTGGGGGGCGGGGCTCCAGACAGGGCTGAGACTGAGCCCTGCGACTGGGGCTGGGCCCCTGTGGAGCATCAGTAGGGGCAAGAGGATAAGGACTGCTCTCAGGGTCCCCTAGGCCTTAGGAAAGGGATGTTGTAGTGGCCCCAGATCCCATTCTAGTGAGAGGATCTGGAGGGTGGCAAGTCCTCAGTTACTGAGCATTTCAGTCTCAGCCACAAGGATCTTCAGGGCAAGCTCCAGGATCCATGTGGAGAGGTGGCTGAGCAGCTGACGCCCCTCTCAACCAGAGCAGCTCTTATGGGTCTGTCTCATATGGTAGGTTCTGCTGAGATTTCTTTTGTAGAAAAGGAGTTTTGCCTTTTAAAAATGAGAGAGTTGAAAAAGTAGGAAATATAGACATTTTCATAGAAAGAAGCATTAGAAAGATAAGAAATCAATTCAGCTGGTTACCTAGAGGCCAGATGGAACAGGAGTTAGGAGCAAGATTCCTTAAGGTAAACTTGATATATTATTTTGGTTTTTGGGATATAGAGAATGCTTTGCCTATTCAAAGCAAAAATAAATGAATCTTTTAATATGCTAATAATAAAATAAAATAAATAAATAAATCTTAAGCGAATAAAGCAAATGCAACAAGAAAAGAGGGGGCGTTGAAAACTATTGACCTAGTCTAGTGTTTTCATCTTGGGATGATATTACCCCTGGCGCATTTGTGGTTGTCACAAAAAGACTGAGGAACTGATTTAATGGGCAGCGCCAGGGATCTTAAACATCTTCACTTGGCCAGTAGTGCCCCAGTTGCCAAATATTGATGGTGTGCAACCATTTTCTTGTCCGAATGGGGAGACTGAGGCTCAGGGTGGAGAGTTAAGAGGCAGAGCCGTGACCATCTCCCAGGTGTTGGGATGGGGCCCAGGCCAAGTAGGACAGGCAGGCAGTGGGGAAGAGACCCCAGAGACCATCGGCCAATGAGCAGTCTGGCCCCCTTGCAGGAACACCAGACTGTTGTCTACCAGATGATCCAGCAGATCCAGCAGAAGCGGGAGCTGCAGCGGCTGCAGATGGCTGGGAGTTCCCAGCTGCCCATGGCCAGCCTGCTGGCAGGAAGCTCCACCCCGCTGCTGTCAGCGGGCACCCCTGGCCTGCTGCCCGCAGCGCCTGCCCCCCCACTGCTGCCTGCTGGAGCCCTGGTGGCACCCTCACTGGGCAACAGCACAAGTCTCATGGCTGCAGCAGCCGCAGCTGCTGCAGTAGCAGCAGCAGGCGGACCTCCAGTCCTCACTGCCCAGACCAACCCCTTCCTCAGCCTGTCGGGGGCAGATGGCAGTGGCAGTGGCCCCAAAGGAGGGGTGAGTAAGGGGTCTGGGCCCTTCCTGGCTCCCTTCTGAGGGATGGCCAGAGATGATTGTCAGAAGGCACCTCACCAGCTGCATAAGCAGGAGGCAGGAAGTCACCCCTAGGTTAGCAAAGTGCCCTGCTCCAGATCCCAGGGCCTCTGCTGGCATGGGGATGCCCTCCTGCAGAGCCAAGAAAGATCCTCTGAAGCATGGGCTAATAGCAACAGGACCAATTAGAAAATAGCCATTCTCTTGGAAGACCAATTAGAAAAGGCTATTTCCTTTCTGAGGGGACCAATTAGAAAAAGACGACCCTTTGGGCAGGCCCATGGGAGAAAGGTCCTCCGTCCTCCTGAGGGCACACAGCACAGGCCCAGGGTGCCGGCCTTGGCTGGCACATGCCTGTTCAGCTGGATGCCCTTTTGCAGGCTAACTTCCCCACCCCTAACATGTTGGCCTTGGTGTGCCCCTGCCAGAACCTAGACTGGAGGCCTTAGCCAGCCTTCCTTTCTGTACCCTACAGGAGCTTTCTTGGCCAAGGAAGCTATTCTCAACTGGGCAGTGTTAGGGCCAGATACCTCCAAAACCCCCATCCTCCCTTCCTCTCTTTCCAGACCGCTGACAAAGGAACCTCAGCCAACCAAGAAAAAGGCTAAAATCACCCATATCCCTCTTGATCCCCCAAGTGGAGGGGCAGATCCTGGCCTGAGGGTCCTAGCCTGGAGCAGGCACCTGCGCCCAGACACTGGAGAGCCCTGGCCCAGAGCCTGTGCTGAGGCCCAGGAAGTGTGGGGAGCTCCTGGTGCCGAGGATTGAGACTGAGGGGGAGCCCCTTCCATCTGGCCCCTCCCCTCTCTGTACTGTCCCCTTTGGGAGAGCTCAGAGGTAGGACAGGCTCCAAGACTGTCTAGGAGCCCCCACCCTCAGCAAATGTTTTGAGGTCCCCCAGAGAGCGAGTGGGCCATGGCATAAGTGGGGGGGTTGGTTGGACCCGCCACATAAGATGGATCAGCACTTGCATGGGGACAAGTGGAGGGATAGGCCCTGGGCCTGTCCCTGCGTGTATGTCTTTTATGGAAGAAGGGCTGGCCCAACTTTACCTGCCGTTTCTTCCTAGCTTGGGCAAATGGCAGAAAGGGTCCCTTGGACTGTTTCTCACCATCCCCACCCCCCACCAAGGGTCACAAGCTGAGCTTGTAAAAGCCCACAGATGTAGGGGGCTGAGGAAGGGGCAGGAGAGCATCAAACTCAGCCCAAGCCTCCCCTACCTCTCGAGGGCCCCAGTGATGGGGGGGCAGGTGCGGGGACTCAGCCGCCCTTGGCGCCCTGCCCCTTGTTTGCACTATTGGTTATAGGAGTGCTGAGGGCGGGCAGATGGAGCAGCCTGCCTCAGAGCGCGAGTGCACGCGTGTGCGCCTGTGCGCCTGTGCCTGTGTCTCTGTCTGTCTGTCTGCCCTGGGCCTGGGGCAGCCAAGGGCACGGACAGGGGCAGAGGTCAGGTGAAGCCGCACCCAAGGGGGGAGCTCCCAGCTCTTGTTTGCACCGTCCCCACCTCACCAACTTTGGTCCCTTTCTGGGGCATGAATGGTTAACAAAAACCGGAACAGTACTCCAATATTGGAGAGTAACTGGGGGTTGGGGGCTTTGAATCAGGGTAATAATCCTGCCTTCTCCCCAGACCCCACATGGTCTCAGGGCCCCCTCAGGGCCCCCCTACCCCCACTGATAGTTTGGTCTTTCTTCCCTGGCACAAGGGGAGCCCCAGAAATTGGGGGAGGGTGTGGGGGGCGGGCTAAAGTGCCACTTCTTTTAGCAAAAGCCTCCCTCCCAGGATTAACCAGCCTGACGCCTGCACCCCACCCCCACCCTGTCAACCAGGGGAGCCCCTTCAGCTGACCCAATAACTGTCCCCTCACCCACCAGCTATTTCCCCGGGGTGTAGTGGGCAATTCTCACCTTAAAGTAGTCCTCACCTGTCCAGGGCCTTTGGTGGCCAAGGCTGAGTGGGACAGTCGGAGGGGAAGCCTGTGTCCCTGTTTGAGTTGCACTGGGGTTGGAGCCAAGGGCAGGCCTTTCCAGCTTTCCCTGATGTCTGTGTCTTGTCAGTCTCTGCATGTGTGGATTTTTGTGTGTGTGTTTTTGTTTGGGTTTTTGTTGTTGGGGTTGTTTTGTTTTTTGTTTTTAAATAAAGAAAAGAAGATGTGTATATTTTTGGCAATGACAGAAACGTAGTGCAGATATATTTTTGCCTGTGCTGCTCAACTGTTTTTTTTTCTGATACTGAAAATAATATTAATATTCCTGTTGATAAGACTTTCTGAGATGTTAGGGAGCTGACAATGGAGGGGGTGGGTGGGACTCCTTCAAAGGCAACTTCTTAGGCACTTGCAAGGGCTTGGGGGAGGGGGAAGGCAGTTTCAATGACCTCAGAAATACTCATTTTTTATTAATACTAAATATCATGTAGAAAGAAATGATAGAATTCAGCATTTTATTCATCTTAATCTGTTAAGCTCTCTAACTCCCTTCCCCCAAACCACTGAAAAGTGAAAGAACCTTCAGAGATTCTTAGAAGAGTTGCTTACTCACCCCACACCCTCGCCCAAGGCTGGCCTGCTCAGAGCTGAAGTTAACTTCTTTTCTGGATGGTAGGGGAAGTAAATCCACTCCAAGTCTGCTGTGTCCAGGAGTGAAAGGTCCACGTGATATAGTGCACTGGAACCAAGATGCCCCCGGCCCCCTCCCCCCATCCACGCCTGGGGTTTTCATCTCCAAGAGCCTGTTGCGTAACTTTCCCCAAGTCCTTTGCTTTCCCCAGGCTGGGATGCTGGGGCAGGTAGTCAGGCTGGGTATGGATTGGCATTGTCCCCACCACCACCACTGTGGGGTGGAGATGGGAGATGTAGTGGTATTTCTTTTTTATGAGAGAGCTTAATAATATGAAGAGATACCAAGATCAAGGGTTTGGATTCCTGTACTGGCCAGCTGCCAAAAAAAAAAAAGAAAATATGAATGGTCCTCTTTGGGAGGGAGCAGGAGGATGGCTATCATGACCTCGCCCTGTCCCAGCCTCAGTCCCTTTTTTGCGGATGAATTTGGATGGGGGGTGGGAAGGGATGCAGATTTGTAGTTCTGTTTGGGGGAGGGGAAGGATGTGGTTTGCAGAGCGGAAGTGGGGTTTGAAAATTCATGAGTGGAGCTGTGTTCCCACCCTCAGCGAGGAGGTGTGAGTGGGTGTGCACAGCTGGCAGTGAATGTCAGAGCTGGAGAGACCTGTCTTTAGGGGTCCTTTGAGTCAGTTCCTTGCTTCACAGGTGACAGCTCGAAGCCTAGGAGGGGCAGGAGCTCAGTGGCAAGGACAGGACTATCCCTGGCAAGGACAGGACTATCCCTCAGGACTGTGGCCTCCTGGTCCTCTGCTGCCCCACTGCACGGTCTCCCTCCTTGTGACTGGCTGACTGTGTGTGTGTGTGTGTGTGTGTGTGTGTGTGTGTGTGTGTGTGTGTGTGTGTGTGTGCAGGGCTGTGCCCTGGGTGGGGGGTGTCTGTAGCTCAGAGCAGAAAGACCCTCCCCATAGGCAATGTAAACGATGACACTTTAAGGGTTGCTTTTTTTCTCTTTTCTTTCATTTTCTTTTTTCTTTCTTTTTTTTTTTTAAGTTTTTCCTGTTTGTGGATTTTTCCCCTCAGGCTCCTGGGTCTACTGCTGCCTCCAGGTGCCCTGACCTTGAGGCTGATGTGCTGAGCGGACCCCTGCCCATTCCTGTACTGAGTTCTAGGGAAGTGCTCACCCGGACTCTTAGGAAGGACCTAGACAAATGAGGGGAGCCCGAGCCAGGGCCCGCTCTGGGAGAGTAACCTCCACACTTCTCTTCCCCAAACTGGAAAGCAGACAGGTTTTCAAAGGCACAGGCTCCCTCTGCCAGCTTCCAGCATCTTCCCTGGTGTGCAGTGGGCCACAGTTAGGGGTAGGCAGCTTGCTCCCATTTCTCCTTTATCCCACTTACCTTCCTGGGGAGAAGTGCCTAAAGACATGGAAGTAACTTCAACCGGAAATTTGGAGGGAGGTGGGGTGAAAGAGCCTTGGCTCCCTTCAGCCACATCAATCCGGATTAAAAGTGTGTCTGGCTCCCGACCACTTTGTCCTGATCTGCGAAAAGCTGGGGACTGAGGGGCACACTCATTCACCTTTGTTCACTTTTTCCAGCCCAACTTGGGACTTGGGTGGTGGGACTGGAGACCCAAACCCTGGCTTCCACCCGCCCCCGCTTCCCATCCCAGCCTGTTTCCATGTAGCAGACCCTTCCTAGGGGAGCAGGGAGGGGAAGCCACAGATTGCTAACCCAGGGCCTCTTTTTTCATTCTTCTAAAACCTTTATATCCTCAGCCCAAAAGGCAATGTTCGCCCACTCCCCACCTCCAAGCCTGGAATTGTGCATAACCCGGATCTTGTATCTTTGTATTACGGATGTTATTTGTACGAAGGGCAGTTCGTAAACAGCACTTGTTCTTTTAATAAAAGAATGTTTTGCAAAAAACCGAAAAAATCCAAAGAGACCCTGCTTGGTCTGGCTTTATTGAAGGGAAGGGGAGGTGGGGTGCCAACCGTGGGAGGGGCATGGTCAGCACTTAGAAAACAGCTGTCCAGAAACCAGAATGCACAGAACAGCCGGGTGCGCGTCCCACAAGGGCCTCTGGGGGGACGGGCAGGGCGGGCCTCTGTTTAACGAGCTCCCTAGGTGATGAGACGCACCCACGCTGCGCCTGCAGAGCCACAACCCCGGACTCCGCGACGGTCCCCGCTCACCCCGGGGTGCCCGAGCAGGCTGCAGGGGGCGCTTCGGCTTGGCCTCAGGCCCCCGGCCCCCACCTGCGCGGAGCCCGGCGGAACCCGGCGGAGCCCTGCGGGCCGAGGCGGG